ATGTCAGTGGTTAGAGCCCACTTATCTCCTACTCGAGCGGTTCTTGAGCCATCAATGATCGGTGCAACCCTCAACTAGCGGCTAGTGGCATGGCCTAGTGGTGTTGGTGCCTAGATGCAGCAACGGGGGTTATGACGTGGCCCAACTTGATGACGCGTCTTATCACAGGCCCAAGACAGGTGGCGGTGACAGTCATCCACACATGGATTTGGGCACAAGTGCTTCATTTCAAGTAGTGATCCATCGCTAGTGATATTCCATTTCGACGTGTTCTGCTACGGCGTGAGCGAGCCTATAGTGCGTTCCTCGTGCCAAGAGCTGACCAAGGCAAGTGTAAGCATCCCTCGTAGAAAGGTTGGACAACAAGAATGGGGTATTCTTTTTTGCCGAGATAGCGGCGGATTGAAGAGGAAGTGTGCTTTCATTGGGTGAAATTCCACGATATCGCCTTCAGGCTTCATTAGACAATATCTCAGTGTAGGTTGTTGTGACTTTGTTGAAGGTGCTTTGGGATGATAATCCCATTAATGTCATGTTTGGTTGGAATAGACAACATCGGCATACGCAAGAGAGGGGGGTGAGGAAGGGGGCCTTTCTTGAACGCATTGTTTTCGGAGTGATGTGTTGTGTGTTGGAACCAATGTTGTATTTATTGTTGGATTTGGTCTAAGCAGTCTGCTAAAGAAGATGGTCTCCTGATTTTTATTTTCTTTTTGGCAACCGAAGTGTTTTGTCTTGCTTCTTGGCATCTTTTTAATAAAATTATGGGAAACGTTTCCCACCAGTGCGCCGGGGGAACGGTTCCGCCGGACGCACGTGACTCGTTGTATGGCAATAGATCGTGTGAGTATGCATCTATCGTGAACAAGTCAAACCTTATCGCTTCAGGCATGACCTCCGCCACTCGTTTTTTTCCTTCCCACCCATCGTCTTCTTCGTTCGTCTCCTCCCTCCCATCGCCTTCTTCCCTAAGCAAGTGGCACATTCTTTTTCCATCACTAACCATGCAAGCTTTGGTCCCTCTAGTTGTTGCGTAGCCGATCGCGTGCCAATGGCCGCTGTTCATCACCTTCAAACCATACGGGAGACGGCCACAATTTTTGCTGCAGTCGACACCATAGCCGCTGGAACCAGCCACACCGTGCTACATGCTTTGATGATGACCAATGGGGTGCTGCAACCCAGCATGTGAGACCACTTCCCCAGACTGGCGGTAATGGGGGTTGGAGGCGAGGGCGCGAGACGAAGCAACGGCGATGGATGTTGCCGGAGGCACTGCAGAACCATCAGATACCCTCGTGCTGCAACCGCTGACAAAAAAAGCTTCAAACCCTTCCTGAAAAGCTTCAACCGGATACAGAGAAAGCTGCAAGCAGTCAGCGCCATCGTGGGAAGCTACAACCGTTCGCATAAAATGCTACAACCTTGGATGAAAAAAGCTTCAACTGGAATGATAGAGAAACCTTTAACCAAGAGCCACTCAAAAAGAAAATAGTTGCAACCATTAATAGGAAAGCTTCGACCGTAGATGAAAAAAGCTCCAACCATTGTAAGAGAAAGCTACAACCAGACACTACGCAATCAGAAAAAGTTGCAACCATTGACAAAGAAAGCCACAATCGTATGTGCGAAAAGCTTCAACTGGCGACTTGCGAGGGGGAAAGCTACGACCGGTGACCGGGGTGGGCGAGACGAAGATACTACAATGTTTTTTTTGTTGGAACCAGCACTTGTTTTTGCTATGACCAGTGGTTAATTTTGCTGCTACCGGCAACCCGAGGAGAGATGCATCTTTTTTGTAAGCTCGCCGTCGAGGCGTTCTGTCCGACGAGCCGTCGCCACCGGAGCGTGGCCGTCGGGCACTGGAGTTGCCGGCGTCGCCAGCAAATCTACAAGCCTGCAACCCCGGGCACACGTTGCTGCATCCACGAAGGCAAGAAAACGCATGAGGTGATCGATGTCGGTGAGGGCGGTAGCCGGCGGCGACGAGCAGGACGCCGGCGAGGGCGGGCGGCAGGCGGCGCAGTGCTACGACCGGAGGCGACAGAGCACGACGTCGTGCATTCATGGAGCTGCGCATTATGCGGGACTAGCGAGAGGAAGGAGAAGTCGGGGGCAAACCGTTTTTCCGTGCAATCCAATGGCCCACCTGGATCGCATCCGACGGTTCTGGCTCGACCGGCCGAAATCATTGGGCCGGCGCGCCGGCGCGTATAAGTCGCCTAAAATTATTGTTGTGTTTTTGTAGAGGCTAGGAGTCTTTTCCTTCCCTTTTGAAAGCGAAAACAAATATAGTATAGTTGGTGAATAAAAGTTGTGTCATAGCGGGTTGGGAAAAATATATATTAGGAAGCACTGATGCACCTGGCTTAGACAAACAAACAGTACAAAAATTGATGTTCTTATATTTTAATAATGATATTTCGTTCTCTTCATAATTCATGGACTTCTGGATTCTAGAAACCCAACAAACCAACTATATCCCATGACTGGTATCATTCAATATACTTTTCTCGAATACACACATAAGTGTGTGTCTTTGTCGACGATTACAATGTCACTAATGGTAGAGGTAACAAAAACCAAAAACTATCAACGAGAAATTACAACTCAAGGGGCACAAGACCACAAAAGAGCACTCAACTCATCATGGATGAGGACATGACCTACACTCACTCCTCAAAGGGTGCGGGCAACCTTACCATGCGACCAACATTTAGGGGTCAAGATAGCATAGACCTAACTGTGGCACACGAATTACACAATAATCCTAGACGTGCGGGCGAGCTACGCTCATTTTACAAAAACTTCTAAATAATTATTTCCTTCATTCTGAATTTCATGGGGGTGGACTCTCCCTCCCCTACCTCCAATCATAATTCTCCACCTAATCCAGTCCATTAAATACGTAATTAGTTTCACCATAGCTCTAGCATTACTCTGAATTACATGATGTAGAATTTTTTTTAAAGAAAAGCAACATCTCTTGAATCACTAGGGGTGAAAGCCCTGGGAGAGTTGATTGAGGGGTCCGATTTTAGATTGAGCCGTCAGTTTTGACCGGGTCAGCATGGGTCAATTGATTTCATGGTGATGGGACCCCTCCCTCTCTCTCCTTTGTTCTGGTTCCCACGCGGACGAATCGCCGCACCAGAGACCCCACTGCCCACGCCCCGCCTCCCCCATTTCCCGGCGCTCTCCATCCTCACGCATGGGCTTCAGATTGATATTTCATATACGAAATTTACATTTAAGGTGCACACATAATTTCTTAATCCTGTAACTAAATCAATATGTGTCAACTGCTTTGTTTTAGGTGCGCACTCATTGGATTCGTTCATGGTGCAGGGTAACCAGTTTTTTCAAAAGTGACTGGAGCAACCAACATTTAACTGAGAACAGCATGCTTCCTTGACCCGTGTGTATTTCTAATTTGGAACCATCATATGGGAATGAAGCATATACCCAAAAAGCTCAGATGCATTTCAAGGTGTTCTATTCCTCATGCATTCAGCCAACTGCAGTATTCTATTAATCAGGGTGCTTGCATTCTATTGTATTTGTATAACCTGTGCTAATTTTCAGCCAATCCTATGCTGATTTTTGGACAAAAGAATCCCATGCTGACTACCAAGATCATTGATTTATGAAAGAACTCTTACTTACTGATGAAAGTGTACATGATGTGAGTTCTGTATTTCTATATATAAACAAAATTTCCAAAATACAGTTGACTTTATTTCATTCATCTTCTGTAAGTAATTGATCATGTAGTCACCATCGATGTACCAAATTTTGTATTAGTTGAGAGCAGTAATGCAAGCTAGACCTGTTAATTTGACTCGCCAAAGCAATTGCAGGCCACTGATACTTTTACTCATGTGGCCTTTTACCTCATGGGCTAAATATAATTTTCCTGAGTAATAGGTACTTCTATTGTTTCCTGAAGCTCGCTCTTTCTTTAAGATTATGCTAAAAGATATTGCTATTCTTCAAACAAACAGTGGATTAAATGCTGAGATGAGTCCAAAGCATCCTTCGGGACAACAAATGTGAAGTAATTTACAAGCTATTCAGGTATATGCTAAGATACTCGAACAACTTGCTACCGAGTTCAAACTTCAGCAATGCTTTCCCCTCCCAACCAAACGTTTCAAAAATAAAAATAAAAGGAAAAACGACAGCGTTCAAAATGATAATGCCTGGCCAACAAGACATCACCCACAAAATTAGCAATCCTTCAAAAATTAGCTAGCAAATAGCAATCCACCAGGAGAAAAGGAAACAACGACAGGCAAGTAAATAAAACTATTTCAGGTTCATTCAGTAGCAAACCGTTTTTGTTTCCTCTAAAAATCAATTAGCAGAGCTATTCCATTAATTGGTCAGCAGAAAAGAAGCACGAGTGTGTTTTGGGGATAACACAGAGCTAAATTTGATTTCCATCTGCAATGTTCACTGTCGTTTACATCGACGTTGCCTGTCGTGTGGGCGTGGAGATTAGAATGTACAGTCAGTGACAGAGTATTGTTTTGTGAGATGTGGATGCAGCGCTTGCATCTGAACTTGTTCCCGTGAATACCAATTAGATGATCAGTTTTTGTGCACTTGTTGCCGTGAATACCAATTAAATGATCAATTTCTGTGTATTTGTTGCCGTAAATACCAATTCAATGATCACTATGAAGATCAGGAGATGCTCTTGTATTCAATGATCACGCCTCATCTCCTGATCTCCAATACACATGGAGTATTAGAATGACAGCTTATGAGTTCAGGAGATGCTCTTGTATCAAAGAGGCACCAACTGAAGCCTATCTTAAAATTAGCTTCTTTATTCAATGAAATGAATGGATATAGAAGGACATAATAGTTGTACTAATAGAAGATCCATAAAACTACATACGATAGACGTATTGCCATGCATGTTTGCACCAAAATAGGACGGGCAAGAAAATCTCCCTCAAAAAAAAAAATCTCATACAAGATCACCAACCTGGTCAGCCTTGTGAACAATATGCACAAGACCTTCTGATGCCGAAGGGATCAGGCACGGAGAGAACATCGTAGCAAGCAAAATCATCACAAGTAAGATCGGATCTAAAATCAATTTGAGCGTCTCGAGAGGCCCTTCTATCCAGATGTAGGCGCCTGCGCTGATTAGCTATCCATTTATCGGTGCAACTGTCGTGGACTCCAAACTTCATTGACTCGAGCACTTTAGCATTCACCACAAAGAACTTGGCAAAATCCACATCCGACTGCTTGCCCTGGTAGCGCTTCAGCACCACCTCTGTGAGATGGAGCTCAAGGCATGTGATAGGATCTTGCGGGTTATAACCGTGTCCATCATTTTTCTCACACTTCCGCAGAGAAGTCGTTATGTAAAGTTTCGTGAGGTATGGGAAGCATCTCAGCAAGTCGATAACATCATCGAGATCAGGTTCACAAGCCTTGAGAATCAAAACCCTCACGTCGCGCATAGTTGTTCTGAAGCTTTCCAGAACCACTTTTCTGGATTTTCTGAATGAGTCCAAGATCTCCAATTTCCGTGCGTGGGGTACCCAGAAGAACATCGGGGTGTAATAAGTGTAATAGGAACTACAAAAGTCCCGAGATGTGACGATTCTTTCCAGCCGAGGGGCATTCTTGATGACTACTTGAACTCTGTAGCCATTCTCGATGATCCTGAGAGACGGTGAGTTGATCAGCACCCGGACAATGTCAGGTGTACGGCGAACGTCAATGTCAATCAGAAGGCTCTCGAGCACAGGGCAGTTAGAGAGCACGCCTTGGAGGTCGTCATCGGGGACGGTCACGTCATGGAGGGCGAGTCTTTTCAGTTGCCGAAAGATGAGCGCATGGGGCGCCTGCTCGGGGAAGCGGCAGAGGACGAAGGTGGCGGCCCGGACGGTCGGCGCGAAGCTGCTCATTGTCAGCGGCAGCGGCAGCGGATCCTGGCCTCTGTAGCTGATGATCTGGATCTCCTCGAGGTTGCTGAGGGCGGGGGACGTGAGCCAGCCGCGGAGCGTGTCGTGAATGTCGCTGATGTAGTAGTAGTCGTGGCGGAGGGAGAGGCGGCGGACGGAACCCTGGTGCCTGGACAGGATCTTGGAGATGACGGAGATAAGCTGGGGCCTATTCTTGCCGAGGCCGAGGCGGTTGACGTTGAGGCCACGCCTATTGCCGCTGATGTCGTAGTCGTCGAGGTTGAGCGGGGAGGAGCGCCAGAGGTGGCGCCAGCGACGGGAGAGGGCGGTGGTGCGCGCGCCGTCGTCCGTGGGCAGGAGGGAGATGATGGTGCCTAAGATCTCGTCGGGGAGGAGGCTGATAAAATCCTTCTCGTCCGGTTCCGCCGCCATGGCCATGCCCGGTAGCGCTGGACGCTCGTAGGGTTTTGAGTTGTTGTAGCGCTAGCGCTAGCGCAGGGGTTGTAGATTTTCCATGATATGGATTTATTATGGTCAATGTTATTTTTTTTATTGACGGTCAAGTTTATTGGCACGCGATGGACTTGGACGCCCAGGTTTGGTCGTTCGCTTACGAACAAAACAAACACGCTGGGTTTCTCTAACAACGCTCTTTTTTAGGATAACTACGTTTAAGATCGTAAGGGCAGGCGATTCAGCACGGGCTCGAGCTCTTGAAAAAAGGCATCATATGGCGCGTCAGGGGCGGGCAGGACATCCGCATTTGGCGAGACCGGTGGCTGCCTAGGGAGCCATCACGCCAACCCATATCCCTGCAGGGTACGTGCCGCCTAAGGAGGGTGGCGGAGCTCCTGGATGACGAGGGGTCCTGGCGCATGGACCTGCTCCGCCGCTACTTTCTCCCTGCGGATGTCGACGTCATCACCAGTATCCGTACGTCGATCCGCGTCACCGAGGATATTATTGCATGGGCACCGGAGAGGAACGGTATCTTCACCGTTCGGTCCGCCTACCGCCTGGCCATGGACGAGCGCGAGCGTCCTTCGGCTTCCGCCACGAGCAGGGCACCGGATGGTCGTCGCGCCATCTGGAAGATCATATGGGGTGCCCTGCTCCCCCTAAGGTACGTGTGTTCGCTTGGAGAGTCGTCACCAACTCACTCGCTACTTGGGCCAATAAAGCCTCGCGACACCTCGAGCTTACTGACATTTGCCCCTTATGTGGTGTTGAACGCGAGGATGGATTCCATGCGCTTTGCAGGTGTCCCCTGGCAAGAGAGCTCTGGCGAGTTATGGCCTTGGACTGGAACATCCCCAAGGTGGAGGCCATCGTCAACATTGGGCCAGAGTGGATCTTTTCACTGCTGGACCCCTTGGATGAGACGGCGAGACTGGTGGTGCTCATGACCATGTGGAGAGTATGGCATGTTCGGAATGAGATCACACACGACAAGGCGCCGCCCACTGCCGAAGCCTCTCGACGCTTTTTGCACGGATACATCAACTCACTCTTGTGCATACAGCAACGTCCTGATGGTAACCTATAGAAAGGGAAGATGGTGGTCCTGCCTTCACCACCACGCACTCCAGAAAGTACGGCGCCCAAGGTGCGCGCACACTGGGTACCGCCCCAGCCGGGCTGGGTTAAGTTGAATACGGATGGGAGCTACATAGCGGCCACAGGTGCGGCGGGAGGAGGTATGATCCTGCGTGATGACAGAGGCGAGATCATCTACAGCGCATGTAGGGAGCTACGTACATGCGACAACGCTTTAGAGGCGGAGCTAGCAGCGTGCAGAGAAGGCTTGGAGCTGGCCTTGCATCGATCTTACCTATTCTGGTTGAGGTGGATAGCGCGGAGGCGGTGTCGATGATTACAGCACGCGAGATGGATAGGTCATCACATCGTGCACTTATAGAGGAGATTCGTAGGTTGGCTCGAAGCGATGCTAGGGAGATCTCTTTTACTCTTTGTAGCCGTCTGCAGAACGGGATTAGTCATGAGCTGGTCGCCTATGGCCGTAGCACTCCGCGCACAGCAGTCTGGCTTACTGTCGGGATGAATTTTGTTGTAAACCTGGCTCTCGCTGAGAAGCCTCCTTGAGTAATGAGAATTCCTTTTTCCCCGCAAAAAAAATGTTGAGGTGGAGGAGAGAGAGCTCATAAGAAAAAGGCTTGTCTTCTCTTATTTAAGAGACAAGAGATGATCTCTTAGCACAATATGTCTCACCATGTTTTTAGGAATTGCTAATTGTTGAAGATAAGGCTAAGAGATGACCCATTGTAGACTTTCTTTTTTGGCATCTCTAAATTACATGCAAAACTTAAGATAAGACTATCTTATCAACCATTGTACATGCCCTAACAACTTAAAACTATGTCTGGTAGTCCCTAATTTACCGGCAAGTGAAAATGCTTTTCAGTAAAATTTGCTGTCCTCGGCTAACATTGTTAACGGTGCAACATTTTCCTCAGGAAACTTGGTCAAGTGGTTCAAGTCACCAATCTGCACCCCCAAGCACACTGGATTCACATCAACTGATCATCAAGCTTTACTCCTGATGTCCTTCAATCCTGAAAAGTGATGAAGTTTTTCTTGACACTATCCGAAGTTGGCAGCTAAAGAGTCAAAGATATATATGGACCACTTCAAGTAAGATAAATCATTTGGAAACAGTTAAAAGATCAGCAGTAATCATGCTATGCTATATGCTTGTGTCCGTTAAGTAGCAGCTATAAATGCAGACCACAGTGCCAGAATATGATTTTAATGACAAACAAGGAACTGGACTGTAACAACAAATAAAGCGCTGAATGGAAGAGAACATGATAGTACATCACATCGCACAGTGTATTACAGTGTCTCTAATAGCATCGCCCTAATTTTCGCCTTGAGCTCATCTGGGGCCTGAGTTGCTTGTTTGTCAGAAAGCTGCTTCTGTGATGGTTCTGCAGAGCTTCTACCAGAAGTACTGAATCCTTGTTAGCACCTCCCCGACCCTTGTCAAGGCCACCGTCTTGGAGGTCTGAAGAACTGCTATCTTTGCGCTCCATAGACCTTCTGTCTTTACGTTCTGAACTCCTGTCTCTGCGCTCTGAAGAACTCCTCCTGTCTTGGCGCTCTGAAGAGCTCCTTCTGTCTTTGTGATCTGAAGAACCACCGCGGGATTTGGACTGCACAGAAAATTCAGCAAGCGCAGTAGAGTGCGGTTACAATTTGCGTTGGTGCCAATGCCAGAGCCACGATATCCAAACAAAGTCTTGCACCTTAGAAATTTAGAAACAGTTACAGTATTAGACTATTCAAAGTAACAAGAAAACAATAAATCAACGCATATAGGAAATGCCAGAAAACATAGTGACGCAATACAGTTAAACCAAATACTTCAGTACTTGGCTGGAAATATGAATAAAAAGGGAAAAGGCAGTGCATCAGTGATTCATACTGTCCACATAAGAACTTACTTGAATTCAGAGATCAAGTGTAAGACATCATGTGCACTTGAAAATTAAGACCAAAGAAAAAAGCAATATTGGCATAAACAGGCCATAAGCATATAAGATGAATATTCATTAAAACCCGATGGTATACATTCGACAGAAAATATATAACAGCACATATAAAAGAAACAATCAGACTAAAGCAAACTTATAGTTTACAAAAACACTTGTATAAGGAAAATGAGCCAGAATTTTAAAAAACTTTCCAAACTAAGAAGAAAACCATGACATCAATCAAATCATATACAAAATCGAAGAAAATATATGTGTATCGATTGGAATTGAATAAATAAGAATAAACTGTGCATCAGGACTGATATAGTGTCCACACAAACTTACCTGAAGTTCAGAGATCAAGTGTAAGACATCATGTGCACTTAAGAAATAAAAAAACAAGCAATTTTAGCATGAAAAGTATTTAGAAGTCCAAAAATGGGTAAATAACTTAATACATTAGCCAGACAAAAGCGAGTGATCCAGAAGAACAAAGGAAACAAAAAATAAACCACAAAAATTGAAGAACATTAGACCAAAGCTTATACGTATCAAGTTATTATAGCATTGGTGGCTGCTGCAACTTTAAGTGAACATGCCCAGTGGTTCACAACTAACTCGTTTAAACAAAGCATGAATGATGAAATGACCGATTAATGGTGTGAATTCTGACAAATGTTTACTTGCAGTAGCTAACGGAACACCGAGGTGCTCGGCCACCATAAGTTCGCTCTCTTAGAAATGCAGCGTGGTACAAGTAAAAAATATGAATTCTTTGGTCACATCAAGACGTGCAAACAACTTGCTCCATTCGACTGTGCCATATCACATGAACAAGACGGCCCCCGTTTACAAACACCTAAACCACAATCTAACATGTGTACCAAACAACTACACCTACGCCGCCACCTATGCCTACGAGGAGCTAACTGGGACAGTGAGCTAGTACATTACTATCCCAATGCCAGGTTGCACGATTTGTGATTCAGAGCACTGAGGTGCTCCGCCACCATAAGTTCGCTCTCCTAGAAACACAACGTGGTACAAGTCATAACATACTTAATTGTTTTTAGAAGTCATAACATAAGTTTTGATGTTTGGTGTACCGGTAGCACAACTCTTGGTGCACAGGATACACTCTCCACCAATGGTGGGTATGCGAAGGCGGCAACCGTGTGAATGCAAATACCAACAAAGAAAATCACACATTCACAAACTTGTTCTTCATCTGCTTTCCACCCCCTGTTATCAAGACATTATGCGACATTGAGACACCTTTTACAACAAGTCCGTGTTCGTTTATGTTTGTTTGCAAAGCCAAAGCAGCCTGCGTGTTCACGTGACAGGCCGACAGTGCATAATCAACAACTTTCAGTTGACAAGGGTTAGCAAAAGGTACTAAAATACCCTTTCCAGATTTCTGAAATTTAGTGTTGGGTCCAATGCAACTACTACCGAAGGAATAATATATGATACTAGTTCAATGTCTTCCATGATAGCATCCTTGCTGATGTGGTATCTCTCTCCAACATGGATGTTTAGAACAATTATGTACTCGACCATTTGGGATGCTATGCTATAATATCAGGGAGACTGACATGGAACACATGGAGTATTAGCAAGACACTTTATGAGTATTGGGAGATGCTCTGGTATCAAAGACGCAAACTCATGGAACTACATTATCTTAAAATTAGCTTCTTTATTTGATGAACAGATATGGAAGGACACAACAGCTGCACTAATAGAAGATTCAAAAAATTAAACATTATCTTAAAATTAGCTTCTTTATTCGATGAAGAGATATGGAATGACACAATAGCTGCACTCATAGAAGATTTAAAAAATTATACACGATAGGCATGTTTGCACCAAAATAGGACGGGCAAGAAAATCTAATACAAGGTCCGCAACCTGGTCAGCCTCGTGAACAATATTCACAAGACTTTCTGATACCCAAGGGATCAGGCACGGAGAGAACATCATAGCAAACAAAATCATCACAAGTAAGATCAGATCTGAAATCAATTTGTGCATCTCCAGAAGCCCTACTATCCAGACGTAGGAGCTGGTGCTGATTAGCTATCCATTTGTCGTTGCAACTGTCGTGGACACCAAACTTCATTGACTCGAGCACTTTAGCATTCAGCACAAAGAACTTGGCAAAATTCACATCCGGCTGCTTGCCCTCGTAGCGCTTGAGCACCACCTCTGTGAGATGGAGCTCAAGGCATGTGATAGGATCTTGCGGGTTGTAACCGTGTCCATCGTTTCTCGAACACTTCCGCAGAGAAGACGTGATGTACAGTTTCGTCAGGTAAGGGAAGCATCTCAGCAAGTCGATAACTTCATCAAGATCAGGTTCACAAGCCTTGAGAACCAAAACCCTCACGTTGCGCATAGTTGTTCTGAAGCTTTCGAGAACCACTTCCCTGAAGTTTCTGAATGAGTCCAAGATCTCCAATTTCCGTGCGTGGGGTAACAGGACGAACATCGGGTTGTAACTGTAATAGGAACTACGAAAGTTCCGAGCTGTGATGAGTCTTTCCAGCCGAGGGGCATTCTCGATGACTACTTGAACTGTGTAGCCATTCTGGATGATCCTGAGAGACGGTGAGTTGATCAGCACCCGGACAATATCAGGTCTAAGGTCAACGTCAATGTCAATCACAAGGCTCTCGAGCACAGGGCAGCCGGAGAGCACGCCTTGGAGGTCGTCGTTGGGGACGGTCACGTGATGGAGGACGAGCCTTTTCAGTTGCCGAAAGATGAGAGCATGGGGAGCCTGCTCAGGGAAGCGGCAGAAGTCGAAGGTGGCGGCCCGGACGGTCTGCGCGAAGCGGATCACGGGCAGCGGCAGCGGATCTTGGCCTCTGTAGCTGCAGCTGATGATCTCGATCTCCTCGAGGTTGGTGAGGGCGGGGGACGTGAGCCAGCCGCCGAGCGTGTCGTGGATGTCGCTGATGGAGCCCTGGTGCTTGGATAGGATCTTGGAGAGACGGCGATAAGCTGGCGCTCACCCTTGCGGAGGCGGTTGACGTTGAGGCCACGGCGGTCGGAGGGGCAGGAGAGGAGGTAATCCCAGCGCCTATTCCTGATGATGTCGCAGTCGTCGAGGTTGAGCGGGGAGGAGCGCCGGAGGTGGCGCCAGCGGCGGGAGAGGGTGGTGGTGCGCGCGCCGTCGTCCGTGGGCAGGAGGGAGATGATGGTGCCCAGGATCTCGTCGGGGAGGAGGCTGACAAAGTCGTGCTCGTCCGGTTCCGCCGCCATGGCCATGCCCGGTAGCGCTGGACGCTACGTAGTAGGGTTTTGAGTTGTTGTAGAGCTAGCGCAGGTATTGTACTAGCAAAACTTTGGCAACAAATCGAGCAATGGCTTAAATAATAAGCGTTTCTCTTTTTCTTTTTCTTTTCCTTTTCAGGTAGTATTGTACTGTAGGATCGGCACAAAATAAATACCGAGTGCTGGGTTGGAACAAAATCAGTATTCGATCTGGTGCCGTTAGCATACGAACAAAACAAACACGCTGGATATGGTGTTCAGATAGAAGCAGACTACGTTTGAGATTGCAACAACTTGAAACTATGTCTGATGTCCTTCAATCCTGAAAAGTGGTAATGTTTCGCAGCTAAAGAGATATAACTACTTCAAGCAACATATACTCCCTCTGGCCCAAAACTATCATAGTGTCAAAAAGTATATTACACTAGTAGAATGCCCGTACGTTGTTACGGGCTAAGGGCGGTCTTCAAGGTCGAAGTTCATTTCTTCCTCATACGTCCGGGTATGTTCGGATATCAAACAGGCGCTCAACGAGCTCCCCAAAATTCAACCGTATGGACAATCCGGGCTTCCCCAAATCCAGCCCATATGTGATGGAGAAATGTGGTTATCCGGACTATCTGCCATGTTATCTACAACACGCGGTCCCAACACAAAAAACCCACCCCACGACGCATCCTTCCCTTTTGTATGCTGGACCCACCTTTTCCGGCTCGGTTTCCCGCTGTAGCGGGACATTTTTCGCTGGAGTCCTCTCCTTTAAAATAGGGATACACCCACCTCATCTTCGCCATGGCGCCCTCTCTCCTTCACAACATACTTCCCAAAGGACAGCCAAGGAGGAGTCCCTGCCAACCGCCCCGCTCCGATCCCTCCCCCCATGTTTGTGTCGATCCACCACTGCCATCAAAGGGGAGGAGGCATGCGCCACTCGTGACACCTCCGGAGTTAAGAAAGCGGATCCGATGTCTCCTGGGTCATTGCCCATACATGTTGCAACACATAAATATTGAAGTGCATCAACACTGATCAAGTTAAACATGTACCTTGAGATTCCTCGTGCCGTTCATGCATGTTACACCGCCTCCATTGTATCTAAGCCGCCCTACACAAGAGGTCGAGGCATCATATACACCCGCCCTGTCCCCCGGCCTTGTCGTGGGCGTGATATTGCTCTAATCTCTCGTCCCTCAAATCTACCTCGTATATTAAAATTAGTAAATATTTATCAGATGATTTTTGTAATGGATTTTAATCCTGATCAGTAATATTTTCCTACAAAGACAGTTCTGGATATAGGAACAAAGCTACATAAAAATTACTTTGAGACGCTTCCAATTATATATGATTACTATCATCCATTTTTCAAATGAGAACATGTGACACCACCGCCACTGCTGACCACCAACTCCCATTCAAAATATAGCTAGTAAATATTTCATAAACTGTCGTCCTAGCAAAAGGAGAACCGGGAACAATGAAAGAGCAAACTTAACGAAAATAAGCTTGCACTTGCATTTGGTTCAATGTGCTAATGAAAAATGGGATAACAAGCCAGCACCTTAAAATTTTCTTTTAGACGTGAGCTGTTGTACAAAATGCTAACCTAACCCCCAATTATAATAAGAGTATGAAACTGGTTGACAAATCCTCCCACTGCCCGACCTTATTTTCCAATGTACTCTACCACACATGCATAAGAATTTACAATTTCCCAAACAAACTACCATAACATTTCATGCTTGAGTTGTCCCAGCATCACTGAAGTCTCGGTGAGGAATTTCACAACAACCTCATGAGGACAGACTGGCCCCTACCCAGAAAGGCAGCAACAAGCTAGGACAAGGAGAAGTCCAACATCTCCTCCTCCGAGAAGCCCCCACCCTCCGCCTCAAGAAACTCCGTTCACCATGTCCTTGTCCCTCTTTCCCTCCATCTCGTCCTTCACCCTACTCTTCTCTCCTCTCTCATCCGACCCCTTCCTTATCATGTTCCTCGGCGCTCCATCCACCTTCTTCCTTGCCTAAAGCAATTCGGATAATAGTAAATTATGGTATTTGTGCATCAACATCACAATAGTTGTCCAACTAAGTCCAACAAGATTCCCAAAACTGGAACATATTGCATCATACAAATAGATGCATAAAACAACAGAAATTGCAGACACCTGTAAAGACAAGACTCTAAGAAATTAATAGTGCCAATACATGTTGTGATAACTACTACATGAATTCAACTTAAACTTGCAAGACAGGAATGCAGGCTATACACTGAACCTTTATCATCCTATCGGCATAACCAGTACATAGCCATTCATTCCCAGATCAAATTTGTAGATCATACCCATTCAATGTGACAACTAATGATCTGCATACATATAGGAATACCATCAATAGATATCTAGAAAATAAATATTGTATTTTATGAGAACTAAGATGCTCTAATGGACCAGTATAATTCCAAGCAAACATGCAGAAGAATATTGAAGGTTTAAAGTTTTAGCGAGTATAAAATTTCAGCATATGGATATTAGAATTGCAGGCATGCTCAAAATAAATAATTTTGTCAATCCAAAATATAATATATTGTTGCGTTGGTAACTGGCCGATAGTTTGCTATTAATTCTTGACATTCTTTAAAAAAATCTTGACGTTTAAGTTTGTCCATGCCCATTATTATATCTGTAACGCTTAGTTCAAAACTTGAAATTAACATATGCTTTTTTTCAAACAGAATTAATCATAACAAATGGAGCAACACAAATACCGTACCACCAGACCAAGAGTTTTCTTTTATACATATTGGCATATTGACATGCTCTGTTATAATGGATGTGCAAATAAGATTTTTATTTTTGCTGGTATGCAACTAATATTCTAACCCACTGACCTAACTCAACTTAAGACAGGACAACATCATGGAGAAGGAATGTCAACAAAACTCAAGTAACAAGTACTCGTATTATGTTATGCATCCATCAGTACACAAAGTTATGATTTACCTGTTATTAACACAATTACGTGAAGAAAAGAACATGCTAAAGTTCTATGCATGTGTGTGTGTGTGTGTGTGTGTGTGTGGAGAAACTAACCAAATTTAAATGTGTATTTCTGAACAAATATACTCACATCACAAATCCTTCGATCCAAGTGTGTGAATTCCATCCGATCAAACCTGCGATAAGAGAAATTGAAAAGGAGACATGTCACCTGCATCCAATTAGCGTATAGAACGTCACGATATCACTACATCACCTTTGTGGGGCCTTGATCAATGCTTCATTCTTAAACATTACAGCATAAACAAATGCATATGAAAGCTAGAAATTGTTCTACTTTTTTTCATGATAGGGACTACCACACAAATTCTTTGAGATGTGGGACGGTAAGAATTGGAGCAGAGAAACGTTGATGTAGTAGGTGCTAAGCCATGTTGTAACACCTGGAAACAAATATCTAACCTAGCTAAGCAAAAAAATTAAAAATCAAGGAAAACATAACAGACTAAAAATATCTACCCTAGCCAAGCAATAAAAAAAATTAGAGGGAAACATAACAGACTAAACAGAACCCTAACAGGTAACTCTACAAATATTCACCTGGCATACGTTATCTCATTCCAACAAATATTGGAGTTACCTGTTACTGTATTTGGCAAGCAATTTCACTTTTAATTTTAAGGAACTGTAACGTCTTGTTTTTCAGATGATCCATTCATAGACTTTTTTCCTCAGTAAGAGGCCAACTTCAGTAAGGTTCAAAAATAGATATTTCGGAAAGTCTATGAAACACCTGAGTTAGACTCAAATAAGGAATTGAAACTGCAATTGTAAAGACCAAGCTGCCATTTTTTTTGTTCTCATTCCAGCCATTTCAACTCTCATCTTCTGAAACTCAGCCTACATCCTACAAATAAAGATGTTCAACAAATAATGGTGCAAGACAAAGCATTCTGATTACTATAATGAAAACAACTCCAATGATATTTTTTTTACATTTTCTGTGATATTATACCTGACCTGATCATCATATTAGCATTTTTATCACCTAAACTTCAAGCTATTACTTGACATCTTATGAATTAAATGGTAGCTCCAAGGAAGATATCTTTGGCTTTGCCATGCTCGCTCAACTTCCCCCTGCCATGCATGTATCTGCTTAACAAAAGCACAACAGTACAACGATTTGTAGATAAATGAATACAGATACACAATCATTGATATGGTAGCGGATCATGTGGGGGTGGCGCATTATATAATCGGTTGAATTTGGAGCTCAGTGCCGTTCAATCTGGGCTGCTTGCTGGTCTGGCGTCAGTGAGCTCGTGGATATAGCAGACTAACAGTTAGAATAAAATGCGTTCTTTGGTTCATGTAGAGGTACCCGATGGTAGCAGCCAATGAGGGTTCTGGCACAGCATCGTGCACGGCGTCCCCGCGCCATTGGCGTCGGCGCACTCGGCGGCGATCTCGAAGGCTGACTTGCCGGACCCCACGACGGTGATGCGCTTCCCCTTAACCAGCGCGGCGGCGTCCTCGTCGGCCATGTGGGAGAGCTCCATGCAGTGGAGCACCCGCCCGCGGAACGCCTCCGGGCCTGGGGACACCGCTGGGATGTTGGGCACGCCGCTGAAACTGCCGATGCAGAGGATCAAGAAGTCGGACTCATGCACCTCCTCCGTCTCCGGCTCCTGCTCGCCGGCGCCGCGGTCGCCCACAGTGAGGCGCCACACGCCCGAGCCGTCGCCGAAGGCCTCACCGTTGCCGTTCCACCTCTCCCACCGGTCCGCCGCGCCCTCCGGCTCCGCATCGACGTACTCCGCGGCGACGACCCGGCTCCGGAACCTGACCTGGGAGAGGGGCACGAGATTTGTGGGTAGATAAGGAAGGGCAGGGGCCTTGATCGTGAGAAATTTTTTGAGGAACAGAAGCTGGAAAAAAATCCTGGTATAATTGGAAGGAAATAAACGAATGCGGGAGGGAGCATCTGTATGGAAAGAATCGTGGGAGGGGAGGATGGAAAGATTGGTGTTTATGGAAGCTTATTCGATATGATTTGATCCCTCTGGTATATGGAAGGGAATGATGGAACGATTAGTGTTTTATATGGAAGGGTGGGATCGATGGAAGGATGGAATGGTTCATTTGGTTTTTCTAGGCATGGGGCGTGTGGTTCTGGTGATGCATGAATGAAAACCGGTCTTGGTTTTTGGAGGGAGGAAAAAATCGGTGGGAGGGAGATCGCCTGGTGGGGGAGATCGTTGGAAGGCTGGAAACGAACGAACGACTTACGTACTGAGACATTAGGAGTAGAGATTTTGGGACTGAGTATCATTTGAAAACGGCAAAAAGGTTAGCAGTAATCATGCTATGCTATAATACTTCTGTGTTCGCCAGCAGACGGAAGCATGCGCTATAAATGCAGACCACAGTGCCAGGCAATGGGATATTTTAACAAGACAAACGCTTGAACAAAATAAAGGAACTGGGCTGTAACAAATAAGGCGCCAAATGTAAAAGAACATGATAGTACAGTGTTACATCACATCACACAATGTATTATAGTGTCTCTAATAGCATCGCCCTAATTTTCGCCTTCAGCTCATCTGGGACCTGAGTTGCCGCCTGCGAAGATTGAGCAGTGTCGCTAGGGGGCTGCTCTGATCCATGCCTGTGCTCGGGCGTGTTTTGGGAGGCTTCAGGACGGCCAAGAGTTTGCTCGTTGAGATCTCTGTCATCCTTGTGTTTCCTTTTGGAACCAGAGCGATGGCTCCTCCGGTGCCTCCTATGCTCGTCATCTTCAGTGTAGTGATGATCGTCCCTATGCCAATGCCTTGACTTGGAACTGCGTAGCTCATCTTCCGAAGAGCTATGATCATGCCTATACTCCCTTTCCTTGGAGTGCTGCTTGTGCTTACGTTTGTGTGCATCCTTACTGTGGCCTCTTGAACGCTCCGAACGATGCCTCTTCCTTGAGTGTTTATAACTTTCCTCCTCCAAATAATCTTTGTCCTCATCGGATTCTGGATGATGCTTTCTGTACTTGCGTGCCCTGTTCTGCTCGTCATCAGAGTCTTTCTCCTGCTTGATCATATTCGAACCTTCACGTTCAAAACGCACAGAGCTACCTTCCCGTTCAAAACGCACAGAGCTACCTTCCCGTTCAGTTGCTAAAGGTTCTGGAGGCACGGGGAGGTTCGAATTAGCAGGAGCGGCCCTTGCAGATTCATTAGTTATCTCACTTGTCACCAGATCGCTCTTGTTGCCACCACCCTTAATAATTGAAGTGAACATCTTTGCACGCCGAAGCCTCTCAGCCTTCAGCTTCTGCTCATTTGTCATGGAAGCTTCAGAAGAATCTGCCTCTTTAGAGGCGGCAACAGCAACTGCTTTTGCGATTGTATTTGTGATCCAATCATCATCGATAATTCCAATACCTTCCTTCTTTAGCTGATCACTACTTGTGACTGATGTGCCAGGCTCACTATTTGAAGCAGGTTTGGACACTGCACCTGAGCCCTGTATATGGCGAATGTCACTCGTGTCTTTTAGCGTGTTAGGTTGAGGATTGGCAGGCCCCAGTCCACGAGTAGCCGCCATAACAATAGCAGCAGCTTCGTCTGCAGTGACCGTCCGAGGAAGTTCCTTCTTGGCCCCATCAGTGACCAACTGGAACTTCCCCTCCCCTTGTTTGTCAGAAAGCTGCTTCTGTGATGGTTCCGCGGAGCTTCTATCAGAAGTGCTTGAGTCCTTGTTAGCACTTCCCCGCCCCTTGTCGTGGCCACTGTCTCGGAGGTCTGAAGAACTTCTATCTTTGCGATCCATAGATCTTCTGTCTTTACGTTCTGAACTCCTCCTGTCTCTGCGCTCTGAAGAACTCCTCCAGTCTTGGCGCTCTGAAGAGCTCCTTCTGTCTTTGTGCTCTGAAGAACCACCACGGGACTTGGACTGCACAGCAAATTCAGGAAACACAGTAAAGAGCGGTTACAATTTGCATTAGTGCGAGCCACGATATCAAAACAAAGTCTTGTATCTTAGAAATTTAGAAACAGTGCCAGTATTAAACTTTGAAAATAACAAGAAAACCGTAAATCGATGCTTATAGGCAATGCCAGAAAACATAGTGATGCAATACAGTTAAACCAAATACTTCGGTACTTGGCTGGAAATATGAACAAAGAGGAAAAAGGCAGTGCATCAGTGATTCATAGTGTCCACATAAGAACTTACCTGATGTTCAGAGATCAAGTGTAAGACATCATGTGCACTTAGGAGTAAAGACCAAGGAAAGAAGCAATCTTGGCATAAACAGGCCATATAAGCATATAAGATGAATATCCACTAAAACCCGATGATGGTATTACATCCCACAGAAAATATAAAACAGCACATATAGAAGAAACAATCAGACCAACGCAACTTATAGTTTACAAAAACACATGTGTAAGGAAAATGAAGTGCACCAGAATTTTAAAAAACTTTCCAAACTAAGAAGAAAACCATGACATCAATCAAATCATATACACAGTTGAACAAAATATCTGTGTATCGATTGGAATTAAATAAATAAGAATAAACTGTGCATCAGGATTGATATAGTGTCCACATGAACTTACCTGAAGTTCAGAGATCAAGTGTAAGACATCATGTGCACTTAAGAAAAAAAACAGGCAATTTTAGCATGAAAGGTAATCAGAAGTTCAAGCATGGGTAAATAACTTAATACTCATTCTACAAGACGTCGAAACTTTTAAGTGTCAGTGTGTCACAGAGAATGGAAGACAAAGCAGTAGCCGGACAAAAGCGAGTGATCCAGAAGAAGAAAGGAAACAAAAAATAAACATCAGAAACTGAAGAATGTTAGGCCAAAGCTTATATTTATTTCATTACAGCATTGGCAGCTGCTGCAACTTCTAAGCGAACATGCCCATTGGTTCACAGCTCACTCGTTTAAACAAAGCATGAATGATGAAACAACCAATTAATGGTGTGAATTCTGACAAATGTTTAGTCAAATAGAACTCCACAAAATATGGATGTGAAGGGAAGGGGTACAAATTGCAAATGTTTAGCCCAATTAAACTATCTGACAAATGTCTAAAAAAATTGACTTCTATAGAACGGGTCAGGAAAGGGAAAGTTATGCGAATATTACGTCCTAAAAAATAAAAGATGAGTGTGATCCAAATTACCTCTTGGGTTTCCTGAAGCATCTTGAGATAGTACGAGTGATATGGATTAGACGGGAGAAGAAATGGAAACCTCCCTGTCATCCTGTCTTGCTCAATGAGCTTTTGTTCAAACTCCTTCCCGTTCCTGAGAATAAACTCGACTATTTTCTCCATTGTGCCCTTCAAAAAGGATGGTGGTTCCAGTATCATTTCTTTTGTGTCAGACACACCCAATTTAGAGTTGTCAGACTTGGTAGAAGTGGTTAACACTGTCATGGCATCTTTAACCTTCTCCCGCTGAGCAGCAACAATGCTGTTTCCAGCAATTGTTGGGTTCTTCTTGGTAAAAATAGGCTTATCCTTTACTAAAGTGGCTGCTTCTATTGTTACTGTCTGATCTTTTTTCACTTCGTTGTCATGTACAAGGCATGATGAACCTTTGTGGACATTGTCATGCAAAGCTTCATTTCCAGGATCCTTGCCTTTTGAACTAGCTGGAAGCACGCCTTCATCCTCATCTCCAGACTCGTAGACGGCCCCAAGCAATGATAAAGCTCCACTTGACGAGGCAGCATTCTCACTCTCACCCATAACAATTTTGTTGCCTTTATTGGTGTCAGCATCAGAGACATCTTTCAACAGCTGAGGATGATCAACAATGTAGCGGAAGTAGCTGTGGAGATGATGGTCAGGCATCAAGAATCCAAATGTTGGATTACTTCCCTGCTTCACCCTTAACACAATCTCTGATTGTCCCCCATGCTCACTGACAAATAGAGCAGTTCTTGCAATTATCTGATGCACCTTCTCGGAGGGAGGCTGCAAATTAAAAATTATGACAAGAAAAGTGTCTCAGTAATGGTATGAGAGCAGAAAATCGCAACCATATAACTTAAACACAACTGGAGTACTACAGAACTGGTACAACATAGTAAAATTTAGAACAGCTATCCCGTTGCAGTATTCTCTTCTTTTATTATATGTACCATTTACATCATTCTAATCCCACCTGCCTATTCCTTACGTCAAGATAGATCGTAAGGAAACAATGTGGATCACTAGTAGGAACTTCATCTCTGCTCCAACCATCTGAAATAGACATTTAATCCTTAGAAGAACATATGCACCTTGGACAATTATTGCTGGATCAACTGAAGAAGATTAATAAAAATGTATGAAGTGGAAAAATAATATGACAGAATGCATATATGATGAGAGCAGACAGTAGGCTTTGTACACTCACCAGCTTATTCAACAGGCTTTCTGGCACAGGAAAAGATGGGCGATAAGAAGAGACTGAATCCTTCGGATCATCAGAACCAGCAGGTCCCCCATATGAGAAAGCGACGGCATTATAACCGGCCTGCCCAGTATCTGTCCCGTTTCCTGCAGAAAGAAAACATGCCAGTTTGGGTATTGTTACATAACAATCAAGACACAGAAACTAAGATTGAGTGAAAAAGAAAAATGCAGATCCAAAGATACATCTCAGGAGAAATCGAAGAAAATTCCCTTACTTTGAACAGATTAAAGATGCTCATCAAATAAAATCAAGCATCCTTCCTGCAAACTTACAAAACAATATGACAAGAAATATAATAGGAGTCCAACTAGCACCACTGCCTTTGCCACGTGTGCCAGTTTCATTAGGTAAAACTGCAAAATTTTATAACAACTACTGTTGCTCGTATACGTGGTAGACAGTACAGCTACTATAGGAACCCAACAGATGCAATATTAACTTTGTTACAGGCAAACAATAGCACGGGACCACCGAGTTATTTTACAATGTTAGCATTTCACAGATATTTCTCCGGACATACTCCCTCTGTCCGTGAATAAGTGTACATCTAGCTTTTGTTCTTAGTCAAAAATTTAAAATTTTGACCCACTTCATAGAAAATAGTAGTAACATATATGACATCAAATTCGTATATTATGAAAGTACATTTCAAAACGGATCTAGTGATACTAATTTAGTGCTATAAATACTTCTACTTTTCCCTAGAAAGTTGGTCAAAATTTTAGAACTTTGACTTAAGAACAAAAGCTACATGTACACTTATTCGCGGACGGAGGGAGTATCTCAGTGTCATAGCGTACCAAATTCAACATTTACTCCAACTGAGCCACCCATATTTCAGCTCATACAGACCAACTCTCTTCTGACAATAGCAAATGGGGGCATTTGAAAAGAAAACATTATTTGGCATCAACCTTCTATAAGATACGATGGTTCCATTTCCCAAGACCGCTCTCAGAATGCTAAATTCCGCAGAATTGCGCTAACAGCGTCCAATTACATAAAAATGGTACAAAAAAACAGCTGTTGGCGCCAGAGAGTAGCGTCATATACAATAAGCACAGAGGGTAGAGGGGTTTATACCTGAAGGAGACGCGTCTCCGGTGCCGACGTCGGCGGTGAGGTCGAGGAAGCGCTCGCGGTCAAGCTCGGCCTCGGACACGCCGTCGGGAGAGGGGGTGGAGAGGAGGGCCACGGAGTAGGCGCGGTTTGGACGAGGAGGGACGCGGTCGAGGAGGTGGCGGACGTCGTGGCGGTCAAGGAAGAGATCGGCCGCGCCGGCGGCGGACCAGGGGACGAGGGAACCGCCGGAGTTTACGACCTCCGCCGCCGCGTCGTCGTCAAAGAGCAACGCGTGCCGTCCCACGATCTGCAGATCCATGGGCGATAGTTTCGTCTGCCTTCGCCTTCGCCTCCGCTTGGAGTCTGCTCAGCGAGGCGGCGGGGCCGTATCGGGAGAGCTAGATGGAGAGCTCGGCTGCTAGGGTTTCGATGGAAAGACGTGCACAAGCGAAAAAGGTGTGACCCAGTTTTACCTTTTCGCAATTTGCCCCTCGTATCTCTACGAATATAAATAACGAACACGGAATTGATTTGTTTAGTTTTTTTTAGGGGGATTTGTTTAGCTAGAGAGGGCTCATCTAGGATGGCATTTTGGATCTCGGCCTTTTAGAAAAATCAAAACTCAAACTTCAAAATTTTCGGTATCAGAAAAATCTGAAAAAAATTTACAAGGAAAACATTTCGCGACGGACCGCCGGCTCTAGTTTGGGCCGGTCTCATAGTGACTGCAATCACCGCGTGGGTCCACGCACCGCTTCGAACAACCTTTTCCTTTCGGGAGCGGCACCCATCCATTTTCCACCACTACCTTTCCTTTTTCCCCACCACAACCTCCGTCGCCTGCTGCCGCAACAACGATGGCCGACAGGAGATGTGTTGCAGCTTGGGGGGCTAACCACCACGCGGGGGGCGCGGCAGCGAGTCGATTTTGTCGCAGCGAACACCAAAGGAGCTGCGGCGGAGGATGCAGAAAATCAACGCGGCTGCAACTTTTGGGGGGAACCACCGTGCATGCGACGTGACGGCGATGCCGTTTTTTGCTGCGACGATCACTAACAGAGCTACGACGACGATGTGGCAAACCGGCACCGGCAGGGTTACAACACCCGACATGGGGCGAAACGGTGGTGTCCACCAAAATGTTGGAACTGACACCAGTGATTGCTACCAGCACGGTCACCATTTGCTGGAATTGGCAATATCACTTTTTTCATAAGGACCATAAGCACTTTCCTGGAACCGGCATCGGCATCTGGTGCAACCGGTGAGGGATGTGCTGAAACCAGCGCACACTGGTGCTGGAACTAGACAACATCTTCACTTGCGACGTTTTTTTCGTTGGAATGGGCTTGATTTTTTGTTGGAACCGACTAGTTTTTTCTACAATCAAGCTTCTTTGAGTTCGTTGCTATGATGTTTTTGCTGGAATGGGCTTTTTTTGCTGGGACAGACTACCTTTTTGCTACAATTAGACTTCTTTGAGTTTACTGCTATGGTGTTTTGGTTCGAATGGGCTTAATTTTTTTGCTGGAATCGGTTAGCTATTTTGTTACAATCAGACTTCTTTCAGTCTGCGGATTTTTGTTTTGCTTAAAGTAACCATCCTGAGATTTTTGTTCGCTGAGTTTCACTAGGATATGGTAGTCCTAGTAGACAAGACGACGAGCCGGAGCTGGTCACGCGCAAGATGCTGCAAGCATGGCGGCTGCGTGCTGGACCACTCGGTGTTAAAGTGCATCCATGGTGCCCGTGCGCTGGTTGCAATCCCGGCGGCCATAAGGATCGAGATCTTGCTGATACTCGTCGGCCATGGAGACGACGACGGGGCAGACAGTACCCTTTCAGGTATGGAAGCGGCAAGAGGGGGACGATGCTATGCGGGATGGTGAGCGTGGGGGAAGAAGACGACACGGGGAAGGAGACCTAATCCAACAGCTGGACGCGTTCGGACCGGATGGCTGCACAGCGACCGGCCCAAATTTGGGCCGGCGCACCTACGTCTATCATTGCCCAATAAATACATATGTGAGGTTTATGTGTGTGAAATTTCGGGTGAAATGGGTTGAAATGCAACCTATAGAGAAAATATAAAGCAATTTTCGGTTCATTTGAAGTTTTTTTAAGGGAATGCCATTCAGCTAGCTTTATTGGACTTCAAAAACTCATCGCTGGCATGATAAGACTAGGTGGGTCACTATCCCACACATTGTTTCAAATTTTTCAAAACTATTTATTCCTAGACAGGATATGAGCTACTCCCCCAATCCCATAATAATGTAATTACAAGCGACATAGGAGTACTCACGTATTTGTTGTAACTATTTTTTGCGGGGAACTTTAGAGAGCTTTATTCAACAAAGGCGTTCGCTGAACAGTCAGCCAATAAGTTGCTGATCAGAAAGCCAGGAGTGGTATCGAGCCAGCTCTCGGTCACATTAAGCGTACAAGCACGCTTAGCACACAAGTGTGCATGACCATTGGCTGTTCTCATTACATGCTGAATGCGAAAAGAAGTAAAACTAAGTGCTAGCTCTCCAATTTCTAACAAGATAGGTGCTATCACCGACCGACCGGTATAGCGAGAGTTCCAGAGGTGAACTGCCTCTAGACAGTCAGTCTCCATGATCACATGCGTGAAGCCTCGAAGTGTAGCAAGAAGAACTCCTTCCTTCAGCGCTAGAGCCTCCGCGATGAGAGGATCCGTAACACCTGATATCGGTTTGCACCATGCACCCTTGAAGCCTGAGGACGAGCGGGCGACCCCTCCCGCTCCTGCATTGCCATCATCGAGGTGAACCGCAGCATCTGTATTGATCTTAATATGAGGATTGTCAGGAGGATCCCAGCCAAAGCCGGGTAGTGTGATCTCCTGCTGCCTGGGTAATTCCAAGATGGCTAGATCTTCTCTAACCCGTCTGACCGAATAGGCTGGATTCCACCCCTCCTTGTCGTGAGTTAGTCGGTTTCGAGACGTCCAAATTGCCCACATCACTGTGATGAAGATCGCCCGTTCCTTGTCAGAGAATCGGGGATCGCAGAGAATGTCTTTCGTCCAAGTAAGAGGATGGAGCCGAGGTAGATCCACATGAAATAACAATCTTGTTTCCTCCCAAAACCTCCTCGCATGCGAACAGTGCAGCAGTGCATGTTCCAAGTCCTCCTCCATGGCTAGACAAATTTTACAAGTGTTGATCTGTCTTATGTGGCGGTGTTTAAGGGTGCATTCATCAGGTAAGATGCCCCTCATCACCCGCCACCAGAACACCCTCACTTTCGGGACGACTTTGAGTTTCCAGATTGCGTTCCACATCTGTTGTTGATTCACTGAAGTGCCGATAGCCTGCCCTTCATCTAGAGCTAAATGCTCTTTTTCTGATTCACTAGAGCCCGGTACGCTGATTTAACAGAGTAGTTGCCTGACTTCTCATGTGCCCACGCGAGAAAATCCTCACCTCCTCCCCGCTGTAGCGGAATATTCAGAATTGCTGTCACATCCGGTGCAATGAAGTTTTCTCTTACTAGTTCCCTCCGCCAACTCCAGCTTTCCGTATCAATCAACTCATCGACAGTAAGGACTGTCGCATTTGCTGGTCGTAGCATCGATGACATTGTAACCGTAGAAGGGATCCACTTGTCCTCCCATACAGATATAGAGGACCCATTGCCGACCCGCTTCACCAGTCCTGCCTGCAAGGCTTCACGGCCTGCCACTATAGCTCTCCACGTCGCCGAGGAGGAGTTCGGTACCGAGGCATGCATGAAGTCCGTGTCAGGAAAATATCTCCCTTTCATTACCCTGGCACACAAGGAATCAGGGTTTGTCATGAAGCGCCATCCATGCTTTCCTAACAATGCCAAGTTAAAGATCCACAGATCACGGAAGCCCATACCGCCATTACACTTTGGTGTTGCAAGCTTGTCCCATGAGATCCAATGAAGTGATCTTCTGTCAATGGAACTCCCCCACCAGAATTTTGCCATATTGGAGGTCAAACCCTTGCACACCTTCTTCGTCAAGAGAAAGCAACTCATGCTGAACGTCGGAATTGCTTGGACAATAGATTTGAGAAGTGATTCTCTCCCGGCGCAAGCAAAAAGCCTCTCCGACCAACCTTGCATATACCCTCGGGCTTTGTCCCCTAGGTACTCAAAGGTACCGATGTTTATCTTTCCAACAGCTGTCGGAAGACCGAGGTACCGTTCTGAAAAAGCCTCCACTGGAACACCAAGTGTTAGTTTCAGAACTTGTCTAAGAGGTTCGGGTGTGTTGGGACTGAAGAAGATTGAGCTTTTGCTTCTGTTAACACTTTGTCCAGATGCTTCCTCGTAAATCTCTAGAATTTCATTCAATCTTGTTGCACTCTCTGTGTCCGCCTTAATAAAAATAAGACTGTTGGCGGCGAACAGGAGGTGGCTCACCCATGGTGCTCTGAAGTTCACCCTTATTCCTTGATCAACAAAGCTTCCATAGTGCTTCAGCAGCGATGAGAAGCCTTCGGCATAGAGCAGGAAAAGGTATGGGGACACTGGACATCCCTGCCGAAGCCCTCTCGATGGGTTAAAGAAGGGTTGCAGCTCGCCGTTGACACGAACTAAAAATCTCACTGAAGTGACACATTTCATAATCAACCTGACCAGATCCACATGGAACCCCAGTTTCAAGAGCATTGCTTCCAAAAAATGCCACTCCACTCTATCGTAAGCCTTCATCATATCCAGCTTAACTGCACAAGTATAATTTTTCCCTTTCTTCCGTCGCCTCATAGTGTGCACACTCTCAAAAGCGACAAGAATGTTATCCGTTATCAGTCGACCCGGAATAAATGCACTCTGTTCTTCACTAACAATGTCATTCATGCATAGCCGTAGCCTGTTAGCAATCACCTTGACTGCCAATTTGTAAAGAACAGGGCAAAGTGCAACAGGATGGTACTGCGATATGCTCTAAGGGTGACATACCTTGGGGATCAGTGTAATTGATGTGTCATTAAGACCCACTGGTAGTTCGCCACCGTTGAGAAAAGCAAGCACCGCCTGAGTCACCTCATCCCGCAACAGCTTCCAATGGCGTTGGAAGAAGCCGGCAGTGAAGCCATCCACTCCGGGCGCTTTGGATGGGGCCATTTGGAACAATGCTTGGTGCACCTCCTCGGCCTCATATGGTTTGCATAGCATCTCATTCATCGCAAGCGTTACCTTCGGTGGAACATGTGATAACAGCGCGCTAGTGTCATTAGCACCTTGCGATGTATACAAAGCTTGGTAGAAAGCTTGGACTTCAGCTTTGTCCTCCGCCTCCGAGACACAAACAGAGCCATC